AGCTGGTTGTATCTCGAAAATTTCGTAAGTAGGGGCGTTCGTAAGTAGAGGTACCACTGTAAACAAACAAACAAATAAATAAATAAATGAGAAGGTTTCTCTCGCAGAGGGTAGAGGGAGAAGTCTCCAAAACCCTAAGGCTGTATATGTTTTTGTGTGAGCTGCAATGGCCATAAATGCAAGGATTGGCCACAAAGTTCTGTTTTGTTTTTCAACCGTCATAAATTCCAATGGTCGCTGCACAAGGCAGTAGCGAGGACTACCTGTACATATTAGTGTTGGCGATACTCTGTCTCTTTACAGACATTACAGCTCACAGTTTTCAAAAATTAAACAAAATACAGTTTAATTCAGTGCTGCTTGCCACTTAGCAAAACAAAGTTCCAAAAATTTGTGAAACAAAATGAGGATTGAATGGAAACCTAGGGAAAGTAGGTCAAAAGTAGTTGGCAGGTACAATGTGGGTGCTCCATTTGTTCCAAATCACCTTTTCCCCAATTAATTTAGATAACTACACAGCATGGCTTTCTATAAAACATGTCTTTGCAGGTGTGTATTTTAACTGCATACTAACTGATTTTGTTGTGCAAGTTGTCTGGATTTGAAAGAAAATATGAATCACATTACACCTATTAGCAATTCCTTAAAGAAGCTGTGTCTTTGCACTCATGCAGCACAAAATCCCCCATATCCAATTTGATATTAAGATGTGTAATGTGCATGTGCACGCACACACTCAGAATTACCTTTTCCTTTTCAATCCAAATTGCTGCACAGACTTGATATACATAAAGTACTTCTGCAATCCTTGGAATTTTCTTCTTCTGTAAAATGGTACCCTTTTGGCTTCATAAACAAATGGCACTTCTGGTTAGGAATGAAGACAGAAACTAATGGTTGATAAGCTCAAGAGAACTATTATGTCAACGCATCTCTTTGCCTCCTATGCTCTTGAAGAGAGTAGCAAAATATCTGTTGACTCAGAAAGGCAGGAGGAAAGAGCCTAGAATTTAAGCCCTGGGGGTAGGAGAGAGAGAGAGAGAAAATACACGCATACGCATACAGTATATATATAGGCTTTGATTGCTGTGAACCGCAGTAGGCAGATCTTCTATTTTATATGACTTCATTCTAGTCCAAAATAAAGTAACCTATCTAGCTAATTTGTGGCTGCGAGCCTTCTGCTGAGTAAACAGTTCCTGAATAAGAATTCTCCAGTGCCTGGAGAGCCAGGATTCAACTCAGAACATCAGAAATCCAGGCAGAATTTGTTACAAAATATTGAATTGCAACAGAACTGTACAGACATGTGGTTTCAAAGGGCAAAATGCGACCTGGAGCCCACATTGAAAAAAACTTAGAGCAGATGCATCTTATCCTGGGCTTGTGTAGCAGCAGTTACACAATCCCAGATATTTGGTTTAAGATGGTCTCAACAGGTGCTACTTGCATGCTTATGTGTGCTGTGCGTCACCTTTTGCCCTTCAGATCCTCATCTCTACACAGCCCTAGAATGAACTTCTCATTCTAGCCACCGTTCTTGCTCTTTCCAGGACACCCAATTCCACTCTCTTCTCTTTCGTTTTTCTTCCAATAGATTCTCAGCTTTCTGCAGACATTGAATATGTTCTATTGCCATGGATGTTTTTTACCCCTTTGGGATATTATTCTAAAAAAAAATCCCAGCTTTTGCAAATGTTGGGTTTGTCCCTTTTTTCCATGTGTGTATGGCTCTGTTTTTTTCTGTGAAAGGATTCACATTTAGAAAATGGCTTCACTATTTGTACAAATTATTTTTACAAATTATTTGTCCAAAGCACAGGTTTTGCAGAAAATGCCATAATAAGAACAAATTAAGAAACAAATTAATATTTAATTGTTTGCAAGAAAAGAACCAAGCTCAGAGAACCCCAAGGACTCCACAGTTCAACCCTGAGCTACACACATTCACCTCTCTTGGTAATATTTAATTACCACAAATGAAACACACACAAAGGCCCTATAGTATTTTTGTTGCCTGTTGCTCCTCTACCTCATTTTTTCTAAGTTAATCTTTTCCAAGTTAATCATGACAGTTTTCATTTAATCTGGTACAAGACTATAACTAGTATAAAAAAATATATGATGAGAATTAGTAATCAACAGCATGTTTGTCTAATACTATAGCTGTACATTTAAAATACTTAAATTTAATCACTACCATCTCTAGCTAGACCTGCATAAAATTCCTTTTCCAAGTCGTAGAAGGAGCCGCTATTCACATAGGAACAACTTTCAGTGGTCTGATTCAGTAAAGGTAACTTTATAGGTTTCCTGATTTGTCTTGCTTAAAAAATGTGCTTTTATCATTATTATCATAGCTCCTTTATCATTTATGCACTGCTGATTTTCCAGTGGATAGTGAAACTTGCACTTTTATTTTTAATAGGAATAGTATAGGAATAGTATCTAAATGTTAAGAACTATGCTAATTTAATAAAATAAATATTATTAACATAAAATAGAGATTTCATTTGTTGGATATCAAAAGAAATGAGAAAAAATATGCCACCCAGTGGATATTTATTGCACCTTTTTTAAACAGATGAATTGTGACACCAATCCTCTGGAAGCTGGACTGAAATATTTTATCAAATTAAATAAGGTAGGTTTAATTTTTCCAGAGCATTATAATTACTTATTTTTTTTCCTTTGTTTGCTAATAATTGTTGTATTTGAACTCTGCAAAACCACCCCAGATAATCATGCACTTCAGCAGCACTGCTCCTTGGTGTGTATCCCTCTCGTTTCCCAGCCCATGCTGCTGTTTTGATAGAGAGCTCAAACCGTAATGTGATCTACTAATTAGCTTCATTTTTGGCACTTTCCAAATAATTTGGGGATCAGAGCAATTCCTTTCCCAATAATTTAGTTGAAATAACAAGTTCCGTACAGAATTGCTAATTGATCGCACCTCAGTTTTACTGCAGATTAATTATCTATGCATCTCATATCAAGGAGCTGTTAACGTGGTGATCACATCAGGAAATGTGGGTCGTTGGAAGATTTTTACAGTTTGCAAACATTTTTATTTGGTTCATGAGTAATAGTATTAACCTGGAACTCACTACGTGAGATGCAATTAAAGCATACAGTATATCAGCCTTTTTGTTATGTTCTGGTTGGAAATTTACAGTTTTACCATGAAAATTGGGATAATTTTCTTGGTGGAGCATGAGAAACTTCTCTTTAGTATTTCTCATTTTTAAATCATCTATCTTTGTGTGTGTGTGTGTGTGTGTGTGTGTGTG